ATGAGTATATATATCCATATTATCAAGATCATGAGATTTACAAACCATGGAAAGCAAATTTAAAAGCAATAAAAGTTTTGTTCATGTAACTACGATGTGAATGAAATATCAATGTTCAAATTTTACTGGTATCACATGTTGGGCCAAAAATATACATATTGCCAAACACTAGGTTTTGTTGCGAAAATAAATTTTAAATTGCAATTTTGGCAAAAGGTCCATTATGGCCCCTGCATTAATTCTGAACTTGTTAAGAAAAAATACAAAAGTTTGAAGAATGACAAAGCTCCTGGATAAAATAATATATCCCCAAGGGTTTCAAGGAGGTTAAGGATTGGATATGCGAGCCACTTGCTAAAATTTATGGTAAGTCCCTGAGTAGTGGGCAGGTGCCACAGGATTAGAAGGTGACTAACAGGAAAGGGCCTGTGGTCAGCCGCAATTATAAGGTGATTATGAATTTTACAGCTTAAATATTAATCAAAAAATATTGGCTTGTAATCGGGCCAATATGGTAATTGATTATTTTACTTGACACTTATCAGTATAACTAAAACTCATATGTAATTAATTAATCACCCAGTTCTAATATAAACTTATTAAATAGAAGAAATTCTAGTAATAATTACTTATTCTATCAAGTTAATTGTAAAAATTGCTTTTATTGTTACATTTTTTTTTGAAATCAATAAAACTTATGACCATTCAGGGGCTAATCTAGGCCATGACAAGTTTGGGTTCACCCTCACTCCTCCAAAAAATGTCAGAAATTTTGGCAGTAGTTCTAGATACTGAATCCTTTGTTTAATTTTCATCTGTAGTTCAAAACATTTTATTTGTCTGTTACAATTTCTGACAATTTTTAACAGATTTTATTCCTTTTGCATATTTTCTTTGAAGAAAATCTTTATAAAAAATGTTACTATGAAGGAGCATTATTAATTTCCATTTACATCTTTAAAACAAGCAAAAGGGTTAGTCTTTTAATAATACCTTTGTGTTTTAAAAAAGTTGACAGAAAAAAATTATATAATTTTATTATGTGTAACACTTAGCCTTATGTAATTAAATGACAGTTTTAGGTCAAAATAACTTATTTACTGTGTTTTTAACTGATATTTATTTGATAATTACAATTTTGTTTGCCGTTATATTTACAGAACGAATACATATTCTCATCAAAAACACTTTTTAATGCATTTATTTACAGTAACTGGCAATATTTGAGGATTATAAAAATTACCTTCTTTGAATACATAACATTTAAACTATCAGAATCTACCTTTTTTGCTTGTCACCTTACCAAACATATTTCTTGTCAAAGAATAAACCAGTGCTCGTAGGTAATCGATTAATCATCCAGTTCTGTCATCAACTTATTAAATGGAAAAATTGCTTGTAATATTTACTTATTCTATCAAGTTAACTGTAAAATTTGCTTTTGTTGTTACATTTTCTTTTCCATAACTGCACAATTATAAGAAAAGAAACCTCCTCCCACAAGGTATTTTGTGACACTTTGTAAAGTTAGTAATGAAACTACCCTTCTGGATATACTTTGGCTATTTTTAATAGGAAACAGAATCAATACATTTGACATTTTACCATATTTGACCATGATTTATATAGTGATCAAACATATAATCAACATACCAGTAATAGAAATAAATAAAAACACTGAGCAATGCTCATTTCAACCTGTTCTCAGCATTTTCAATGCAAGGAAAGCCAAACATTCCAAAGTCTACACTTCCTCAGACCTCCCCACCCCATGATGATGTCACCAATGCCCAAACTAAAATCCTACATTAGACCCTGCCATTTCATATTTTTATCATTGTCTCACTTTTTTATTATTGATCATAAAGTTGTTTCCAACTTATTTATTTCCTAAGTTTTAATTCATTGAACATAATTCATCTCTAGTTCAGAATTATTTTACACATTTTCTGATGTTGCTTTGTTACTTTCAACATAAAATTATCCTAAATGTGAAACGTCAAGAACTCCCAAGTCTTCACTGAAAATACTGACATTTTTTGAAAATACAACTACATAAAGAACCTAAGCTTTGCAACAAGACTTTAGAAAGAAAAACATCACAACATCTTTCACCTCCACTCATTGACAACCAACTTTTAGGAATCTGCTTGAATGACAGTTTTGAAAAAGTAAAAGTTTAATATACAGTAAGGAGCTGTAAGTGCTAAAGGAAGTCACCTATTATGAGGTCTGATGGCATGCCCCCCCCCCCAGATTATTTTATTCAATGAAGCAAAATGGTGCATTTCCTGAATCACAGTAAAGTTGAATTTGACCTGGATTCAGCCAGTCAACCAACCACTAGACATGATAGAAAGCTGCCAATTTGACTTAAAATGTGAGATTATTTCACTAATGCATGTGAGCATGTGAATAGGCCCAGATGTACAAGTCTCACACTCAATGCAGGAGTGTTTGTAATTTTGGTGGGTGCTACTGTAGCGTGAGGTCTACCACACTATAGCATGAGGTCTACCTCCCGTTAGTACTATAGCGTGAGGTCTACCGCTGCATTATCCTTCCCTCGTGGATATCACACACTTCCATACATTTATTTTAGCGATAAACACTTAATTTGATACATTTTTATACATGTTAGACCTGGGTAGGCGACATATGGCGGTAGACCTCACGCTATAGTAGCACCTTTTGGTGTATACTCATAACTAAACGTAGTGGCTAATGATTTAGTGAAGGGTAGGTCAAAGGAGTTAATTGATAAATACAGGAGATGATGAAGGCATTTAAAGAAAAGAGCCATAGCTTAATTGTGTCAGGGATACTATCAGGACTTAACTGTGTGGATTATATTATATGTAGATCACCATGTTAGGCTTAGGTTAATATGCAAGAACAAGCACTAATTGCAAAAATGGAGCTTTTTGGAATGGATGGCTTTCATTTAAATAGAAAAAAACTGGCTTGTTTGCAAAAGCTATTAACTTAGCTATAAGGTCTGCTTTAAACTAGGATTAGAAAGTAATGAGGGCCAGGATAAACTAAGTGCAGGAAAAATAAGATACAGAGAAAAGTGTAGTGAGGAAAAAAGTACAGAAGTAGTTTTAATAGTAGGCTAAACTGTATGACTAGATGTATCAATAATAAAATATATGACTTTAAAGCATTAGTCAGAATGTTGGATTTTGATATAATTGGAATAACTTATGTATAGTTAATTGCAGACAATTAGGATGATAGACATTTCTTTGAAATTGAGTTATAGGTTATTTAATAAGGATAGAGTACAAAATAAAAAAGAAGAAAGGAATGAATGGTGTTATGTGTAAACGTGAGTTACATATTGTTTAAGTTGAAGATATCATAGCTAACAGCAAGGAGATTGACTGCATTTGAGTTTTTGTTAAGCAGATATAGGAAAAGGAGGTTTGTAGTTGAAATTCAATATAGACCATCAGATGGAATTGATGAAATTAATGAGAAACTGTACAGTGAGATACAGATTTCAGCAGTTTTTTTTTATGAGGTCCTAGTTATGAGAGATTTTATTTCAAATCTTTTATTTATTTATTTAGTTTTTACTCTGTTGAATAATCATTCACTCAGCTCCATTCTTACTTCAAACTCTGCTTCTCCTGGCTTTAAAAAATAGGTAACATATGTCAAACAATCTTTAAATTTCAATCTCTGTTGTTTGTTCACTTGTTCAGCAAGTACCACCTGAATGAATACATGAATGACAGACTTACTAATAGTTTCCTTTTGCTAATAGCAAGTTAAATACATAAGTAAGTGAATCATCTGTAAATATGCATCTCTGCTGTTCTTCCTTACACTTATGTGTGTAAGATGGTGTCGGGAATAACTTCACTCATTCACTGTGGCTGGTATATATATACATATATATATATTTTTTTGCTTTCAAAATTCCCACACAAAGTTTTGGATCATAAATTTCTGCGGTAACAGTTGTCCATCATACAAGCCTCTGTGACATCTTGGGGGAAACTGATGCACAGAAGGCAGAAATAATTGACTTGCTATAGAGCAACATATATGTTGATGGAAAACATTACCACAAAAATTTATGATCCAGCACCTTGGGCAAGAATTTTAAAGGCAAGAACATACATGTGTACCAGCTGAAGTGAACAGAAAATAAATCATGCACCACACTCAATGAATGGGTTAAGATGTATGGGTCAAGTTTTAGGTGGACTGAAATTAGGGTATGCTGCTACAAGTGTGTATGATGTAGAAACAAGAATTAGAAATATCATTGTGGACATTCTCACAGCCAAAATCAATAATTTTAAGCATACCCAATGATTCAACTGAAAACCAAACTGACTTATGATTAAGCAGACTAAATGTGCCACCTACAAATGTTTATTCAAAAGAAAAGAAAAACAAAAGACAAAAAGGAAAAACTATGAGGAAAATTTAAGTTTCAAGAAAGTATATATATGGTTAACATTTTATTTTGTTTCTTTAATACTTCAAGTTAATGCTCAGGAAGAGTGTTTAATTTAAGGCAGTTGTGTTCTATCATCATATTCTGTTTAAATCAAATATTTTATGTCATATACCCTATTAGGCATTGAACTTTTATTACAAAACTGAAAGTTGTTACCTGTCTAGTTTGTTTATATTATTACCTCATAGATAACCACTTTTTTTTGTTTCTTACTATGTAGGTTTGCTGATATTGTAATGTGGCACGCACCTGGGCCTCCTTCCCTCTCACTGACATCTCTCCTTTGTTTGGATGAAAATAATGTACATATATATATATATATATAACAGATACAAGTCCAAATGCGAAAACACCTTGCAGGTGGACTACTTACACCAAATATCCCAAATGTACAAAACAAGTCCATGACTTAACAATTCAATTTTATACAAAATAAGCACTAATCATTCTTTAAATAAAGATTACCATAAAAAATACTTTAAAAATAGCCCCTGTCCACAGACATATTAATTATTATGCTTACCTGAGCCATCTGAGTTGGAACTTGTGCTACACCAAGTTGATTCATGACCTGCTGAGAAGCAGGCTGTCCTGTTGTTGGTAACATGTTGCTTCCTCCAACAGCCTGCATAACCTGAACAGGCAAATGAATAGTTTGTAGCACAGTCTGACCTCCAGCTGTTGATACTGGAATTTGGATTGGAATGGTCTGCTGCATGGTGTTTAATGGGAGCTGCAAAGCCTGCAGTATGTTTCCTTGACGAATAGCCATACTCTGTCCACCAAGTGGGGAAAAAGTAACATTGTTTAAGTTCCCAACTCCTTGAATCCCTTGTATTTGTTGAAGTATATTGTTCTGAAGTGAAGCTGAAGGTGGTGGTTGGACATTCTGAGTACGAATATAAGTTTGCCCACTTGGAGTAAGGACAGCTTGGTTTCCATTGATCTGAATAGGTTGTGTTTGTCCTGCAGCCACATGGTTAACACCTCCAGGAATAAAAATAGCTCCTTGACCATCAATCTGTAAATTCTGGAGTTGGTCTGCTGAAATAACACTGTATGTAATATTTCCTCCTGCTTGAGGCTGGGCAACGATCGTTTGCGTACTTTGTGGAAATAACTGACCGTTCACAGAGGCCACGGGTACACCATTTTGGAAGTTTGGAGTTCCAACTGAATCCGACGATGGGAGTGATTTGATTCCAGCTGTAGGCACAGTCACAGCCGCGGGCTGAGTCGACTGTCCGTTCACGCCCGCGACTTGCGTCACAGTTCCGTCTGGGTTCAACAGTCCTACAGCTTGAGATTGCACTGGTATAAAATGAGCTGATCCAAGATCAGATGGGATCACTTCTCCACCCTCCGAAACTTGGTTTTGGTCCACCACTTTGACGGCTGATGAACCCTGGGTGCCACCTTCATCAACTGGTGACCCTATCTTGCTACAAGTTGCGGCCAAAAGCGCCAACGGGGACGGCTGAATTTCCTACATAGGCGGAGTTACGAAAGAAAGGGGTGTGAATTTATTGTGAATAAGGACAATGATATTAACAATTATGTACATATTATGATCAAACTTTAAAAGTTTCAACGAAAAACCTACCTGTGAGGCACTACTCGGTACTACATAATCGTTCTGCTGTCTTCTGACAGCAACTGTGGTCATTCTTTTATTTATTTTTTACACTAAAAGTAAGTTAAAATAAGAAAGCACGCCAACATCCTGTAAACTAACATGGCGGCCACTCACAACTACGATAACTTTCATGAGAAGCACAAGGGTGAGCCGTTTGGGCTAAATAATATCACTCCGCGATAAGAAAGAGTTTCCAATTTCAAACGAAAAGGCATGGTCATTATTTCAAAAAAGCAACATAACTGTAGCTTATTATTTAAAAATGAGGTCTATTAATAATCATGTATCAACTGTTATACTATGTAAGGCTTAGCTAACGATACCTTGTGGCGAAGGGATATAGGTCATGTACCAAGGCTATAGCGGTCATCGGAGTAGGCGTGACTGGCAGGCGGAACACAAAATAATGTGCAGCCCCAAAAAACACCTCCCGTGTCTGAAGTGGATATCCAAGGGCACTGTCCCATCTTAAGAGGTGGGAGAAACTTTTACAACACTAATTTTGTGGAATTTAAGCTCATCCCTATCTCATCTAACATGTATCTCGTTCATTACCAAGAGCATAGCCTTGTCTCAGAAGCCTGACCGTTTTTGGCTCTTTTTATGAATAGAAAAAATAAGCTTACGTAACAAAGATAGTTGTTTTCTCCTCGATGGTTAAATTATGTTCAGCCGATGTACATATTAAGGCCACCAATTTTCTAACTGATCTAATATATAAGGCTAAGTAGTAATGATGAAATATTTCACCTTCGTGTATTCTAATTCTAATCAAGAATAATTTCCTTACAGTATTCTGAAATTAAATATACGTGTATATATCGACAATGAGGTGAAGTTTGTATTTGTGCGCATTGCCTATTAACTGACTATTCAGTTATTAATTTCTTGAGCTTTTTCGACATAAATGTAGAAAGCTTTATACGAAGTATAACGATACAAAGAAATAATTTTCGTGAACTTTTGTATTGTAATTACCTCTGTATATATTAAGTCAGTATTTTCTTTCGTTTATATTGATTTACTGTTCCAATTCTATGACAATCTAAATAGCAAACTTTCTTTTGTGTGATAACTTAACAGTTATACATATATAAGCAATATTTGAACCTAAAGACAAAACACATTTGGAGCACTATATATCCATATCTTTATATATATACATGGGTATCATATAGACTGGCTATAATGTAAATACGTTCTTTACTTCCCTCAGGGCTTATTCACAAAAAATCGGGGTTCGATGTCCGCACAACGCAGATAGTTCTCTCTATAACTTTGCGCTTAAAAACACAAACAAACGTTTTCAGGAAGTAATGGAATATAATAAGCGCTTTTGTCCTACTAGTTAGAATATTAATAAATAAAATATCTTGGGTGCCTACTCTTCTAGATTTCTTGCATGGTTGAATAACATATGAATTTTCGAAGAACTTTTGTTTATACAAATAAGAGCCAACAACCAAAAATAGGGACTGTATAAGAAGTACTGCTAGTAATTGTGTTCAGATGTTTTATATGGAAATTTACCGTAGCACTGAAATTATTATATATATTGCTTCAACTGGATCTAGTTTTGAGACTAGCACGCCAGAAAACTTTTGGCGTATTTTATTAAAGTAACCACCCTGATGTTATGTGAAGGCGGACCTCGACCCACTGAAACAAATGATCCCACGAATATCTACGCCCAAGGTGGACCTACAAGGCGTATCCGATAGTCTATCTTCCGCGCCCAAACCGTCCTACCCCTCGTTCCCATGTGGTCTATACCCGCGTGCATTCGATCTTCTGAAAACGTTAGTTGAAGACGCGCTTCACAAGCTATAAATAGATCACTTTGATCGAATGCGATTTAATACAAGAATTTTCCTTGTTTTTAGTATACCACTTCACGAATGATGAAGGATAAGTATGTACAATATGGTTTAAAAGTAAAATAAGTATAAAATTGTTATATTATTATTATAATTAATGTTATTAACGCTAGCCAAGATTTGTTTTAGCCACTTAATTAGTATCATAAGTAAAAATTAGAAGAAAAAAAATTAATATTTTAATTTTCATTTCAGTAAGTTTTTGAAAACAAAAGCTTCAAAACACCAAACGATCTACAAAGTTTGAAAACTACAGAATTCGTCCTACACCCAATTTTACTTAAAAGCGTTTCTGACTATTCAGCTTTCTAGCTAACGGATAACAACAGTCAGTCGTAAGTTGTTACATAAGTCTCTCAATAATAATAAAAAAACGTTTCTCACACCAGAAAAAGAAAGCCCAGATTTTGACCAGCTGAGAATTGCAATTTTAGAAAGTATCGGGCTTCATTCTCTACCGTCTGCATTGTTTCTTGTTTTGCTAAACAAGGAGTTAACCTCAAAACGGTATATATATATATATTGAATGTTTTTTAATTAAAACTAAACCAGACAAACACTTAACCAAAAGGCATATTTAGATCCATCCGTATTTGTTGATGAAAAGAGTTTTCTTTTGTTTTTGTTTTATCATGAATAACCTGCCTAGAGAATTTTCATAATATAATGTGCCCATATAGACTCGTAGAATCGTGGCAATTCACGAAATGCTTAGGGCATGTCGTCCTTTGTGTTGAATTTACTTAGCTAAGACAAGCGAAGTTATTTAAAACTGAGTTTTCTATTAATCATAATAAAGGATTTGTTCCCTGTTAACACTAATACACTAATATGCTAGACACCAGTGGTGTTTTTGTATTATCCCTGAGAGACAAGCTATATTGTTATGTACATGGATATTCTACGTTTTCTACATAAAAAAAAAAAAACATTAAATTTTGTCATTAAGTATCTTTGTAATTATTTAATACCCTTTTTGGTATAGAAATGATTAAATTCAAAATCAACTTCAATAGCTTACAGTTACACTCGGAAACAACTTGTGCCCCTAAAAACAATCTCGTTTAACACTTTAATTCGGGGTGAAGCTTTCTGTTATGTTTTCTAACAGCTTGTTAGCAAACAAGAGAGTCCCGATTATACAAATTATTTGCCATGATATTATCTATGACACTCTGCCTTCTGGTATGCATCATTTCATTTTTATTCCTGTAAGAAATCGAAACGTAGCCAGTGAGTGGTTTGTACTACACATCGTCTAAACTTACCTAATCTACTCATATTCAGAAATTAAATAAATGTTAGTTTTACTGTACTCAGATAATATTTCAAATCTGGATGAACAGTGATTAACATGCCCCAGTGGTTTAGCGGTCAGTCTTAGTGCTTATAACGCTAAAAAACCGGGTTTCGATTACCGTGATGGGCACAGCACAGATATCACATTGTGTAGCTTTGTGCTTAACACCAAACAAACAAAAAACTTATGAATGAACTTTCTGTACGAATAGTAGATGTAATGTAGAAAGTTATTAGTTAGATTATAATTATGTACGTTTCACAGTTTAAAAGTATGTTTTATGTGACTTTTGCAAAACGGCAATATTTATTTTGACATACCCATTTACCAAAATATTCTAACAGCGAAAGAAAAATTATTTTCCTGTATGAAGTAAAATGTAAGAGAACTTAAAAATCAAACCATTTTCCTCGTGACGGTCGTGACTTGTTTGTTGCCTACAGCCCATTTCATAACCCTGACCTACTGGTTATTATACGAAACAATGAATGCTGATTTCCAACTACATTCGTTTTTTGTTGTTTTTTTCTGTTTCGCTGCTATGTATTTATACTGTCTTGTGATTGATCTATAGATAGTATAGTAACAGGCACTACGATGTTAAAAAGTTACACGTCGAGTAGTACGCGAACAAACCTGTTGTACCATATACGTTTTGGTTCTACATGTCGATTATATGGCCGTTTGATAATCGAGACATGGTTGTCAGTGCATAGTTTATATTTTAGCAGTCAGTCATCCATTTGTTTCCTGAGCCATCTGTCGGCGGTATTACAAGGTGTGTTGTTCCATTCGCAATTAATATTCTTTGTAGTCAGATAGTCATATTAATAACGGCATTGTTTTAGCAACAGTTGTAAAACAAATACCAAGTAACACATAACATAGTTACTGAGTTGGGAAAAACTACTAAGAATTGTGTTATGAATGGTTGTATAACATTATTAATACACTACAATTTTAGGAAATGTTTACCTGGACTAATAATCCTGTTTCTTTGGCTACTGTATCGGCATATAAAATTATCTTTGTACATATATATATATATGTGTGTGTGTGTGTGTGTATGCAATTAAGAATATTGGAAAATGCTATTTCACAGATCTGTATCTGATAACTATAACTACAAACAATAACTTAAATTATAACACCACAGGCAATAGAATTTCATTCATCTCAGTTAGAAATGTTTCTATTCTGAAGCCCCCCAGTGGCACAGCGGTATGTCTGCGGACTTACAACGCTAGAAACCGAGTTTAGATACCCCTGGTGGGCAGAGCATAGATAGCCCTTGTGTAGCTTTGTGCATAATTAAAAAGCAAACAAACTATTCTGAAGAACGAAAGAGCTTTTGTTTCGCAATCTCCATCACTAAATATTCGATATGAAAAAAACATCGATTGTGACATAGTAGAATTTTCTAGGTTAATATCCTATCACTTTGTTTAAAACCATGTGTGAAATTGTTATATAAAATATATTAAGTGTACGTTTATAAACCACTCCTTTGAACTGAGACTGACATCTAACCAATCCCTTGAATTTCGCCTTATTTGCTAATCTAGTTATAAAAAAATGCTACCAATAACTTATTTTTATGGCTAAACTGTAAACAGTTATTAGTTGCAAAGAATACTAGTTTAAGGGTGATCTTCACTTTATTTTATCTTATTTAACTAACTATCTGCTAAGTGTTGTGAATTATTATCCTAATTTTTATTTTAATATCAATATAAATCATCACGTTTCCAGATATATGATCTGTTTTCACATATATTTTCACGTATGTCTTTGTTCCACTATATCAATTTGACGAAGTTTTATACCTTTCGGAAATTAAAAACAGAGAACCCTCCCCATCGAACACTATCATTTGCGTTACCAATTCTCACCGTAGTTATGGTTTAGCGGTAAATCTGGGGGCTTATAACACTAAAAATTGGGTTTCGATA